AGCAGCCCGGGGCTGAGCAGGTTTTTCCAAGCACGTTCGACAACAGGCGAGGCTTCGTCCGAAGCAGATGCTCCCTGAGCACTGCATTATGCAGCAAGTTGTCAGGGAATGGCTAGAATTCCAGGCTGTTTAAGGTTGTTGAAGGGAGCTTAATGAATGGCTAGATTTTTATATCTCTTATTCTCATTCTCTGTTTTCATGTATTCTAGGGAGCTTTGTCATTTTTTTGCAAACATTATTGTATGTTATTTGTTTTTATTTTTTTTTTTTTAAGGAGCAAATTTTCAAATCTCACCTAGAAAACGTGAGTATAGAAGCCGAGGTAAAATGACAAATTTTTGAACAAAAATCGACTTTGCATTTTGTTGAGAATCTAACTGAAATTAAAAAAAAAATCGAACAAGAAAATAAATCATAATCATAATACGAAAGAATCCGACATCGAAGTCAAAATTAAAACGTAAAATTGAAATCTGTCAAACATGTGAAACCAATTCATTCACCCAAAGGACTTGTCTATCATTGATTTACCAGAGCCTCAATATATAGACACAAATGAAGCCCTAAAATAATATACACCAAATCTCTAAGATACTAAAATCTATCTATACCAAAAATACAATATTCACAAAATCATTCTAACACCCCCCTCAAGTTGGAGCGTGCGGATTCCGGATGCCTAACTTGCCAAGAAAAAAATCAAACTCGCGTTTTCCCAAGGCCTTGGTGAAGATGTCCGCCAATTGTGAATGAGTGGGAACATGAGCGGTAGAAATGAGATCTTGAACAAGAGCATCACGAAGAAAATGATAGTCAACTTCAATGTGCTTGGTATCACAATAATAATGCGACTTCTAGAAGACTGACTTCCTACCTCCCGGAGCTGGCACTAATAAGGAGAGAAGAAGGCAGCTACCGACCACTTGACTATCACAATGAATCCGCATCGGCTGAGAATGAGCCACACCAAGACTGCGAAGTAAACCCCGTAACCATTTCAACTCGCAAGTAAGCGTCGCCATAGCACGATACTCAGCCTCGGCAGAAGAGCGAGAAACTGTGTGCTGCTTTTTAGTACGCCATGATATTGGAGAATGGTCAAGTTGGATGAACCAACCAGTGAGAGACCGTCGAGTAGTAGGGCATGTTGCCCAATCGGAGTCACACCAACCATAGACCTGTAAGTCACAATCAGACCGAAGAAGAATACCCTGGCCCGGAGTACCCTTCAAATAACGTACCACACGAGTGGCGGCATCCCAGTGTGCCTGACGAGGCTGATGCATAAACTGAAAGGGCATGTGCACAGCATAAGACAAGTCGGGACTAGTGACAGCTAAATAAATCAAACGACCCACTAGCCGTCGACATCGCTCAGGATCAGAGAACAACGGACCATCGGCCAATGGAAGCTGGTGATTCTGCTCCATAGGAAAATCAGCAGGCTTGCACCAAGTAAGCCAGCTTCAGCAACTATGTCAAGAGTGTATTTCCGCTGACATAGAAATATGCCAGAGGAATTCTGAGCAACCTCGATGCCCAAAAAATATTTCAAGACTCCAAAATTCTTATGAAAACAATGACCTAAGTACTCCTTAAAGGCAGTAATAGCAGTCGGATCGCTTCCAGAAATAACAAGATCTTCGACATAAACCAGGACATGCAAGTACATAGAATCTCGATGTAGAGTGAAAATTGAGTAATCAGAATAAGACTGCTCAAAACCATAATGTTTAAGAGCAGTAGCAAGCTTTGCAAACCAACATCGAGGAGCTTGCTTTGAACCATATAGATATCGGCATAATCGACACACCTTACCAGGATCAGGCGAATGAAAACCAGGAGAAAGTTTCATATAGACCTCCTCAGACAGATCCCCATGTAAGAACGCATTGTGCACGTCCATCTGATGAACCTCCCAATGTCGAGCAGCTGCAACAGCAAGAAAAGTCCGTACAGTAACCATCTTGGTGACAGGGGCAAATGTCTCCTGATAGTCAATGCCCTCCACCTGCCTGTTACCCAAGACAACCAAACGCGCCTTGTAGCGCTCAACAGAACCATCAAAGTTATGTTTAATCTTATAAATCCACTTGCAACCAATCGCGTGTTTCCCAGTAGGAAGAGAAACAATATCCCACGTACGATTTGATTCCATTGCTCGAATCTCCAATTGCATAGTTGAACGTCAGCGGCTATCTCGAACAGCCTCAGAATAGGTCTGAGGCTCAACAACAGAAGAAATGGTTGCCAGAAATGACTGATGTGCAGGTGAAAATGAATCACAAGAAACATAGTGTGCGAGAGGGTAAGGAGTACCAGATGATGACAAAATGGGGGCGGCAGAGTGGGGAGACGAGGAACAAATAGTGCGAGAGACAAAGTCAGCAAACGGGAAGAGGGCCTCTTGAGATGATGACCACGGCCCAACACTTCCTCTTGGGGGGGATTACCCCCACTATCGACAGTGACCTCAGAACCCCCAGTGGCAGCGGTACACGTTGTAGTGGGAACCACATCATCATCATCGTCAGAAACAACAGGAGATGGAACCACGGGTGCGGAGGCAGAATCAAGAGCAGGAGACGTCAAATAAGGGAACTCTGATTCACAGAATTTCACATCACGTGAGACCAAAAAAATGCGGTTGTCCAAATCATGAACACACCACCCCTTTTGACTAGTTGGATAGCCCACAAAGACACAACGACGACTTCGACTTGCAAACTTGTCACCATCCCTGTTCTGATTGTGCACATAACACAGATAACCAAAAAGACGTAAATGCGCATAGTTGGGAGGTTCGCCATACAAAAGTTCATAGGGAGTCTTGCCGGATAAAAGATGAGTAGGCGTTCGATTAATCAAATAGCCAGCAGCAAGTACACAATGTCCCCAGAACTCAATCGGTAAATGGGCCTGAAAGCGTAATGCTCGAGCAACATTAAGAATGTGTTGATGTTTGCGCTCAACATGTCCATTTTGTTGAGGAGTTCCGACACAAGAAGTTTCATGAAAAATCCCCTATTGACGGAAATAATCGCGCATACGAGTAAATTCAGTCCCATTGTCACTGCGAAGAGTTTTAACCAATACACCAAATTACCTTTTTACAAAAGCAAAGAATTGCAGTAGAGTAGAAGACACCGAAGATTTGCCATCCAATAAGAAAATCCAAGTACCTCGAGAATAGTCGTCAAAAGACTTGTCAACACGTGAAACCAATTCATTCACCCAAAATACTTGTCTATCATTGATTTACCAGAGCCTCAATATATAGACACAAATGAAGCCCTAAAATAATATACACCAAATTTCTAAGATATTAAAATCTATCTATACCAAAAATACAATATTCACAAAATCATTTTAACAAAATCATATGAAAAAGATATACTACTAACAATTTTTCTTTATGAATAGAAAAACAAAATCGATATGTATAAGTTCATAAGAAAGTTTAAAACAAAAAGTAGAAATTCATTTCTGAAACTGAAAGAAAAAAAAAAAGTTGAATCTGGGAAAAATCTAGAGTGGAGAGGAGAAAGTTTAAGTCCAATTTTATACTATGTGGAAAAAAATCTTATCCGTCGATTTTTGTTGACTTATCGTGATTGTTCGATTGATTGTCTGAAGAGTTGGGACGATTTTACTCCCTAAGCCCAAATATGATGATTAATAGGCTTATAACTATTAATCACATGGTCCAGATTTTGGCCCAATTATATCACTTTTCTTAAAAATATGTTAACCCCACACATTATTAACAATTTATACGTCATATTTTAGATAGATCATTCTTATAGATTTTAACTTATAACTTAGTAATTATGATTGTTATTTATATTACTACAGATAATTCAATGTTTTAATTTTATTTGACCATCCAAAATATAAAACATGATATATATGTAAGACATTCACTAGAGATCACGCATGTGATAAAGTTTGATTATAAGAATGGTTATAACTCATTCCGATGTTAGAATTCCTTTTAAGTTCCAGCGTCAACAGTTTTTCATTATAGTTTCTTACGCAGCCATAAGTATAAACAAGAGGCAAGGAAAATCATTATTGCACGTTAGCTTATTTCTTAAGAAACCAATATTTAGTCATGACTAGTTGCATGTTGTTGTCTCCCGCGTCACTAACAAAAATAGTTTGAAAATCCTAATTTGTGGCGACAACGACGTGCCAAATAATCAAACCATGAATGTTGTATATAAGAAAGTATTCAATAATATATATGTTTCATTTTCATTATATTTAGTAATTAGTAATGGCATGATCTTTTCTATATTATATATATTGGAATTTTAATACAAATTTGCCTTTTAAAAGGGATGAAAATAATAAAACCCCGTGCGTCGCATGAGTACTGTACTAGTATTTAGCATACTTCTATATTTATTTATTATATTATATATGTGCAAAACGGATGATTTTCTTATAAAATCAAACATCACTTAATGTATTGACACTTGTATATTTATTTATTATATTATATATGTGCCAAATGGATGGTTTTCTTATAAAACTAAATATCACTTAATGTATTGACATATGTTCAAAGTATATTTATTGTAAGACACGTATCGTGTCATCGGATAGCTTAGTAGAAAAGCGGTTGTACCGTATATGTCTTTTTGATTTCGTCCATAAATCTATCTTCTTTCCCTAGTATTTTATAAATAAAATAAATCAGAATAAATTAAAATAGTATTTTATAAATAAAATATATCCGAATAAATTAAAATAAAAAGAAATAGAGTATTAATGTTACTTTAGTTTGTTTATTTATATTGAAAAATGCTAAAATAAATGTATATAAAGGTGTACATAACACTCACATGGAGTGAGGTCCAGTTGATTTTTCTTTTTCGTAGGACCCACTTATATGAGTGTTATGTACAATCTGTATAGTAATATTATGTACTTGTAGCATTTCTCATTTATATTTATATTACATATAGATAATAAATAATAATAATGAAATAAAACGCTGCTTTGTTATTCAGCATCCAAAACCCTCATTCCTCGTCGATCTAATTATATAATTCGTCAGTCCTATTGATTGATCGGTGGATAGCTAACTTATAATTATGGCGGACGCTTATTGGAGGTACGGAGACGGCAGGCAGCAGCCGGCGGGCCTTGCTCCTCATGCGGTGAAACGACCCCGGCCGGATTTCGGTAAATCTTTATTATAATCTTTTTTTCGCAGACGATGTTGTTTTGTCCTTTGATTTCTGCTTTGCTTATGGTAGGACGTTAGTGCCTTTTTTTTTGGTGTAATGGAACTCGGAGATTTGCAAAATTGGTGATCTTTGTAAGCTAGGGTTCGAATTGAATGCTGAGATAAAAAAAAGGGTAAATTTTTAATTCACTTTTTTGTTGCTTAATTTCTTGAATTGGAAGTTTCTTCCCTCAAACTGAAATGCGGTAATGTTGGTTAAATTAGTGGGAAAATGCAATCTATTTATGTGATGTTTGTTTCGTTTCCAATTACAAAGGGAAACAAGTAACATTAGCATTGCACGATTTTGGGATTAAGAAATGCAAAGTGATTCTCACCTAGCTGCTCTAGAGTACACTCTTAATGATTTTGTCTTTGTATGTGATGCACATACATATTTCTGACTATTGCTTTACTGGTTTCCATTGACTGCTTTACAGCAACTTCTGTAGAGATGCCCACTAGCCATGAAATGCCCAACTATTTTGCTCGCCCAGATGATAGGTCCGGGTCCCGTGTTGTTAGAGATACTGACTCCATTAATGCTTCATATGATCGCTACCTTCGCAATACAGTAATCACCTGTCTCTCATTTTCAGTTTGTGTGTGCTCAACGGCTTATCTTTTCATGTATGAGTTATATGTAATGTGAAGTTTCAAAATAAAATAATTTGTTCAAAATGAGTTATTTTGGTTAACCATAGTTAATTTTGAAAAAAATAGTATGGTTAGTTGTTAGTGGAATTTTAAGAATGTGTTAAAATAATATTTAAAATAAAATGATTAAAATTGATTTGATTTAAAAGTAGGAGATAAATGATTGGAAATAATATGTAGTTAAAATTATATGAGTGTATGAATAGTGAATTAAAGTTGATGTGATGTGTAAGAATGATTGATTTGTATTATTTAATTATATGAATAATATTAAAGATAGTGGGGTTGAGTTAAAGTTGAGTTAAATTTTGAGTATGAAAATAAATGTGAGTAAATTAACTTTTAAACAATCAAGCCCTTATTTTTTTGTGTATGAGTTATATATAATGTGAAGTTTCAAAATAACTTGTTCAATGCACCAGCAACTGTCATCTCATGGTAATGACGTTGGACGACCTGTGAGTAGCGGACTTGGAGGACCTCATTACGTTGATGATCCTCGTGTAATGGCAATTGGAGGACCGGATTTGGCTGTGGCTGCAAAGAGCAGGCCAATTGGAGTTGGAGGGCGGCCTGAGATTCAACTCCCTCCTGATGCTACAAGCACGCTGTATGTGGAGGGCTTGCCCGGAAATTGTAGTCGACGGGAAGTGTCTCGTATCCTTTGTGTGTAATGTATGTTGTATTTGGCTGTGCGACTTTTTTTTTTTTGTTTTTTTTTTTTTGTTTCCTTTACTATGGTACGGCAGATATATTTCGCCCCTTTGTTGGCTATAAGGAAGTAAGGCTCGTGACAAAGGAATCAAGACATGTAAGAATTAGTTTCAGTTTACGCTGGAGCTTTTTTATGTTGTTCATAATGTTATTGATATAAATGTTTTTTACTGGAAAATGGTTCAGTCTGGGGGTGATACGCTGGTGCTGTGCTTTGTTGATTTTCTGAGTCCAGCTCATGCAGCCACAGCAATGGATGCCTTACAAGGTAATATTGATTCATGATTTGGACTTATTGCTAATAGAGGTGTTTATGATATGCTTTTGGCATTTGCTTCACCTCTACACTTCCTATTAGTTGGGAATTTTTTCGAGTGGTCCTTGGATTTTGTTTCTTTCACACCATGGATGTTAGAATTAGGATTTTGTATACCTTTTATCCAAACACAGGAGGAGGATCAAGTGGTTTCAAGTTTTCCTTGAATACTTCGGTATATTAACTTATTCGTCTGTGCATTCACGTTTATTAGGACGTGCTGGTATGTTTTGTTGAAGTCCAACTTGGCTGCAGAAAACCAGTTGTTCCATCTTTCCATGTCTCACCCACTTAGCTAGAATAGTTCTAGGTTTTTGGTACATGGGAAACAGAGCACCTTTTAAAAAGAAAAGTACATATTTCCCTTCCATATTACTCGTCTTAAGAACTGGTGATACAGATGTAAGGATTGCCTGATTTTTCCATCTATGCGACCTTGTTTCTTGCACAATTGTGAACAGTGTGTGAGTTTTTCTTTGTGATGTTCTTAGGACAAAACCAGTAGTTGCATCGCTGCTCCCTCTATCTCTCCATTTTTCAACCACTTAAAAAGGAATAGATCTGAGTGTTTGCTCCACAGGAACAGAGCACCTTCTAAAAAGAAATAAAACACATTTCGCTTCCATATTACTCTATCATCTTAAGAACTAGTGATACAGATGTAAGGATTCCCCGATTGTTTTCAGCACTGTGACCTTGTTTCTTGCACAATCACGAACAGTTTGTGAGGTTTTTTTATTTCATTTTTTGGGGGTGAGTTTGGCCGTAGGAAAAAAGATTATAGAGCTTAAATCTTGCGTATTGTGATTCTTTTTTCCAACTACTAGATCTTGACTGTACTTCTGTATTAGCTGGAAGCCAGTAATCTAGTCGTAATAAGATGAAAATGAGAATTTGATCAGAAAAGAGAATTTATTTTTACACTCTGGCCTTAGTTTTATACTAATTGTATTGAATGCTATACAAGTCCATTCTGCATCTTGATACCAGTATCCCAAAATAATTGTCATTTATTCTTTAAAAAAGTACAAAAATAATGATTATGGATAATATGGATTAATCATCAATCAAACGAAGTTAGTGTCTCTCTGCATTGAGGTTGCTTTAAAGGACTTATTGAGGTCAAATGAACTTACTTCCTTGTATCCTAATGTGAGTTCTCACTAAATGTCGAGGAGAAAATATGAGGTCACGTTGTTAAAGAATCTTGAACGTACTGGGTTGTGCTCGTTAATAATAATTGTTCAATTGCTCAAATGATCGTGATCAAGGATTAAAACGTAACAAGCGGTAATGGAAATCTACAACATCGCGTGCTTTCAATAGACGTGGTTTTGTCACTGTATACGAAGTGACAATACCGGGCGCCGTGAAAAGCGTTTAGCTAAATCTTGCAGGTTATAAATTTGACGAGCATGACCGCGACTCAGCCATACTAAGGCTCCAATTCGCACGCTATCCTGGTGCGAGGTCAGGGGGCGGGAATCGAGGGAAACGTTGAGATTGCTGGTTTTTTCGACAGGTGAAAAATGCTACCTATACGCGTTTGACCGTTTACCGTTAACAGCCGTTTAGGTTTTCCCTGCAAACGTACGACGATCACGTAATTCGCGCTGAACATTAAACAACTATTTTGTGTAGGACCCTCTGAGTGGTGAGATTTACAAGTTATATTTGTGTCTCGAGCTTGGAGTTTTCGTGAATCTTCAGATGCTTGCTTAGGAACCAGTGGGTTTACGTCAATCGAAGTGTGCGTGTTTGAATTTGGGACATTTTCTTGTTGACCTCTCTTTGTTTAGTTTATTGTCTTGGATATTTACTAGACTACTATTATTGTCACCTTATTGGAAACTACTATGTAATATCTGCATTGGAGGTTATATCCGCTACATGTCTGGTTTAAAAGTGACCTAGTGTAGAATTACCATTTGATTTGCACTGCAGATTTTGAATATTGATTGTTTTTCACTCTCCATGTTGCACAGTCGGCAGATCTGTAAAAATGTCTGTCTTTTGACTGATAATTTGGATATGTTTGCCGGAATATGGTTTTTACTTTGTTGGATAAAATTTTATGCATTTCAACCTTTGTGTCTCATGTTAGCTGGTGTCAAGGAACTGAAATTTTACAGACTTCTTATCTAGTTGACATCATAGAACACTAATATTAGATACCAAATTTTGTAACTTTTTAGTGGTGTCATGCTATCTATGCATCATATCTTCTCCTTTTGTGCTCTCTATACCTTCTTTCTTTTTGTACTTTTACACCTTGGCCAATACATCAATTTTGAACCCAATTTCTTCCTACCAATTTCCCATATCTGCTATCGCTAAAAATACTGTCAACTTAGTTGTCTTTGTGACTTGTTTTTCTTAGCAGTAACCTACATGTAACATTCTTCAATGTTATAGGGGTCGTAGTTTTGTTTCTAGTAGAAAGAACGTTTTAAAATTGGCCTATCATGCTGCTCAAGCTCCAGATATTTGTGATGAATGCACTACTTTGTAGATGCCTAAATTGTCCAAAATATTTATCATACATGCTGGCGTTTAAGTCTGATAATATTGTAAAACTACTAAATGAAAAATCCAACCTAGTCTATGGACATTCACTAAATATTTGCAATTTAGAGTTCATAACTACGCAAGTATCACATACAACGTGATACCATTAATGCTCAAATGTCCTCGTTAAAAACAATCTAATGAGTTGATTGCCCTATACTACTCTATCATTCTTAACTGAATATCAAAATCCATAAAGTGAGATAGAAACACCTACGCATGGCTCATATTTGTTGCTTGACCTACTATATCTAGCTAACGCTCAGTCTTCTTTCTTTCTTTTTATTTTTTATTTTTTTAAATAATAATCTCGCCCTACTAGCCAGGCATCACACACCTCATCTTATTTATCTACATTATGGCACGGATTGGTATACTTGGCATTTGAGGCCTGAAGTACTAAGTACTTCTATTCATGGAATATATGTTAAATAATAATCTCCTGGCTTTTCGTGCTGAACCTTGCTACATCGGCACCACTTTATTTATGTCCTCACTACTTTATTAATAACAATTTTATGAAGCTCCAATCCCTGATGTAACTGAAGATTCATTAGTTTATCATTATATAGCAATACAATAAATTTTGATTATGACGCTTGCCTTTGGCGTGAATTATTGTTGCCACTTTATAATGCCATACATTCGGGTGAAATAGATGGTGTGTCCTGTCCAGTTGAATCTCTCTAGTTTATCATCTGTAATTTGGTATTCCATATTCCATCCATAGTCTTAACAGTCATTCGATTGAGAGCAGTGTACATTTTTTGTACCGATGGCTTGTCCGTTTTAGTTCTGGATATGTGAAAAGTAAAGAGCTGAGTCCAATTAAGATTCTCACATGCCAAGGGTAAACCGATGAATCATAAGTGTTATGGCAACACATGGCTGTTCCATTTATAAGAGTGAATAGTTCTGATGCTGGGAGCCCATAACTACTCTCGATAAGGTGTTATCAGGTCAATTCATGATTCAATCACTCTCTCATCGTGATTGGCGTTTCTTTGGATAAATGTTAATGGCTGATTATTAGCCTTGTGATGTAACATAACTTATGTATCTGCTGTTTGTTTGTTGCAAACAGTTGGTTCCATATGTTCTCATTATTTTCGCTGTTCTGGAAATTTGATTACCTCTGTGTAAAGTTAAACTTTTGTAGTTTAAGGAAAGCTGGTATTTTGTGAAAGTCTTAATTGCAGACTTTCTACTTAACCAGTCTGATAAAAACCTCCCATTTTATGTTGGCTTATTGTGTGTATTTATTAGCTCTGTATTTCTATGTGCGTTAGAAAGATGGTATTGGAATTATTTCATTAGTAGTTTAGTTGATTGCGTTAATTCTTGATGTTTTAATCTCAATGGTATTTTATGTCTTATTATTACTTTGTTACCATGTTTATAATTTGCTTCTTTGGCTTTACGAACTATTCGATCCTAACTCGTGTCATTCTGTACCAGTCATGACATTTGATGCTTCTGCAGTTACATGATCTAACTGCAACTTTTGGTACAAATAAACTGAAAAAGTTATCAAGTTGTAATTGTTTTGTTTCATAGTGGATTGATTGATTATCTATTGGTCTTTAAGCACAGATGAGGTGCATAATATGGCCTTGTTTAACAGGCTCGTGTTGTCAGTTGTCACGTTAGCTTAGCTTGCACATAATTAGTTATGAAACAAGTTGATATTACTTGAGAGAGATTCCTATCCCTCGTTCACTTTTTATGCCCTGTTTTGCTTATATAAGCTTTTCATAATTATAGGGGTTTTCGATTCTAAAGGCTAAAAGTACTTCATTGTTTTTACGGAATTCTTCAAATATACAACGGGTGGAAGAGAGAAAAATTAATGGACAGCGATTTCCCGAATAACAGATTTTTATTAGTATTTCTCCTAGAAAATGAAAAGACGAATCATTTAACTAAATGAAATGGAAAATTTTGGTATTGGGTGCCTACATTGTGGCACTGGCACCTACCCTTATTCTTACTTTTGCCTATACTTTGGGAACTTTTTTTTTTATTTTCTATGACAAACCGACCGAATCTATCTGAGTTTTGAAAAGAAAAAAGGGAAGTGATCGAGTTGTTATAATCAATAACTGTGGCTCCATAACGGAACTGTCCCATTGGTTGTTGGCTCCATAACGGAGCCAACAATTGGCTCCTTAACATTATTGAGTAGTGCAATACCGTGTATTGCAAGTATATTAATTTAAAATTTTATACATTAGAAGAGAATTAAAATGATAAAGTTATATTATTCTAACTTCTGAATATTTCTCAAAATAATCGTGTGATTTATTTTGTATTTTGTATATGCAATATGAATATTAAATTGGAGATCGTCAAAAGATAATTTAATTCATACATCATATATGAAAAACAGACGGCAAATAAAAAGTTATCAAATCCTAAAAAAATATTTATAATTTTAGTTGACCAAGTTTTTAGAATTTTAAAAGTTCTAAAAAACATGTATAAATGTTTATATCTACATGGATTATTCCGAAGTACCAGAAATTGCAAGATAGGGTTCTGGAGCACTAGATATTTAGACAAAAATTTTGAAGTATATATAGCATGATATTTGTGAAGTAGTTTGTAGCCGAGTACGATATAAATTCGTCATAGGATTGTCTCTCGAGAAAGACGTTTGGAATTGAATTCGGACAATGATGAATAACTAAAAAACGAAAATAAAAGCTACACACTCTACTCGCATGATTTTGGTTGGATTGAACTAGTGAGAAAGCAAGAAGTCATGAAATTGGAACAAAGAAAAGAAAAAGAACATTAAGTACCTCAAGAAGATTGATAAGAACTTAAGGTTTAGAAACATGCAATCGAGTAATTAAACACTAGGCTAGAGATCCATCGAGCTATCATATCAACCTACACAAGTGCATTAATCAATAGATGAACCAATTGATGACTCAAAAGCTACCCCACATGCACGAGTTTGGGCTTAGGTAAGAATTTTCCAAGTGCCGTAAAGCCTTAATATTTTATCTTTGAATAAAGACTCAACCATTACACTTTGAAGCATACAATTTGGGTCATCGATCGCCTCTATCCTAAAATTTTATCACAAACATATTTCAGTCTATGGTGAATTTAGCCTGTGATATATACCGTCATAAAGAAAAAGAAAGGAAAAGAAGAATAAAATATATTTCAAAAGATTTTATCACAAACACATTTCAGTCTGGTGAATTTTATCTTTCGAAAGTGAACATTGCACCAAACATTCAAGCTCTCACTATCATCGGAGAGTAATAGTAAGCAAAAGATTGTAATCTTGATGGAAAAGCAAAACAATAAAAATGCGAGTTTTGGAGCAACTAAGAGAGGGAGAAAAGAAGAAAAATATATAAGAGAGAAATAATAATACTAATAGCTATTACGGCAACTTATCATGTTAAAAAAAAAAAAAATGCTTTCGTTTCAAATTGCGCTGTTTAAATATACAATGAAAACTAGTACCGACCGTGAAGCATAAATGAAAGGGAAGACATGAGACTATATTATGCGACTACATATTTAGAACCAATCCTTCTCACAAATATACAATTTCATTCAGTAGACCAACGTACTTTTCTGACAAAAGTGTCGTACTTAAAAAAACAACAAATATAAGGAAGACATTTGATAATGTAAATATATTTTTTGTTCACGTAGCATAGCAGGTTGACCCACTTAATCGCTAAACACTGTCTGACAGAACTTTGTAATATTATAGAAAAGAGGTAGATTATGGAGAAATTGTTCAGCATGATTTTCAAATTAAGAAACAGTTGAAGCAAAAACCCTCCCGATGCTGAGTGAGCTACAAACGATCTCACATCATAATATATCCATCCCATCACAACATTTCTAGCAAAATATAACCTACGAGCAATCTCAATCACTCGAAAATGTCGATTCCGGAAACTAAGGATCTTGAGGTTCAGACTGAAGGTTCAGAATTTGAGAGACGACAAGTTTAGAAAGTTCCCCAATAGCAGCCTGTACCTGATAATCATCAGAAGACTCCCTTTGCCTCAGCCAACCTGCATTTAATCTACCATATTCACCAGCGGCCACGTTTGTCTTGGTGCTTGAAGTTATTACTCTCTCCAAATCAGACTGTGATATTGGTCTCGGCCCCTGAGGTGAAGAAAAACGGCACAAAAAAACTAAATATCCTGCTTTCTTTAACTCGGGCTTTCATGGTTATTACTTTAGAGCAACAAAAAACTTGTAAAACCATAATCAATCACTCTAGCATGCCACAAATCAAGCATATGCGAAATTTCANATATATGATTCCTTTCTAATTACAGTTAGGACCTCCATATTTACAGCTATTTCACAAGTTGCACGTACATTTAATGGTTCAATAAAAATACCACCTCAGGGGTTGAATCTATACTCTTGGGCTTTCTGGCAATGAATCAAAAACTCAAGGGTAACCTATGTTAATCATATCAGTATTATATCAAGATGAATAAAAGTATCCTCTACCATTGGCACTAGCAAAAGATTGAATTTGTGGAGCAACAACTAATTGAACTATGTTGAAATTGCTGCAATTTGACTCTAATATAACAAGATTTAGATTTAAGTATCAATTCATCCAATGGTAATGACCCAGCATTATAAAACTAACAATCTGCCTTTTATCCTATATAGTATTAACCCAGTATCAACAATAGGCATAATAGAATGTAGAACTTATAATAACTGTTGAAAACAATTAACTTACAAAATGGACAAACAAGACGGGAAGAGAATAATGACCTGAGCTAGTTTTCCTGCTTTCTCATCTTCAAGTAATTCCCTAATCGGATAATATGCAGCTTTTTTGCAGAGCTCAAGAATATCGGAACCAGTGTAACCCTCACATAGGGCGGCTATACACTCATAATTAATGTCATCTTCAACCTTCTCACCCTTTAAAACCACCTTCAATATTTCAACCCGGTCCTTACGATTAGGCAATCCAATCTCGAATGCTTGGGGAAGACGTCTAAGGATTGCCTCGTCAAGTTCTGATGGACGATTTGTAGCGGCTAGTACCATGACCCGAGCATGTTCTACATTAATAAAGTTCAATGAATATTAACAAACCCACACCACATCTTTTGAAGGTTGATTAATGTAAAAACAAAAAACTCCAACCCCCTTAAACAGTTACGAAGTCCCCCTCGACTGCTCGAGTGTATCTACATGATAAATAACTCCACCAGCGCAGGTACCAGTAAAGAAAAATAAATGACTAAGGGAATTTGTTTTTATTTTTTTTTTCCTCGGGTGAAAATGGATACTCAGATAGTTCTTGTAATAAACCATAAAACACAGCTTTTATAGAAAGTAATTCTCAACTATAATAAACAAAGAAACTCTACGGCCAATCAACCGTAATAACTATTAGCTATAACCCTATAATTAAGCTAACAACAGTAAGAGCAGAAAGAGAAGACAATCCTAGGGAGATAAAAGAGAACTTACGGTCTGTGGTGAAACCATCCCACATAGCCATAAATTCAGTCTTCATGTTAGTCAGTGCTTCATGGTCTGTAGATTTGCGCTGACCCAAAAAGCTGTCCACTTCATCAATAAAGATTATAGCAGGCTGGAGTTTATAAGCCAAGGTGAACACAGCAGCCACTGAACAAGGAACAAAAGAAATCAGACAAGGAAATTAAAATGTGGGATAGTAGTTAAATACTAAGATGATAAATCTATTAAAGAATAAATAACAAGTATCACAATATTCTTTCGCCTTCCCATCGAAGAATCAAGTCTACTACATTTATTATGGGACCGGGACATGAATTAATTCCAACCATAAACAAAAATGAACAATCAACCATAATCTTCTACACCAAGGTTCCCTCTACCACATATTCTAACCCAAATGTAAATTATAGAAAAGCAAGAAGATGAAGAAATTTTCTACAAAACCAGATAGGGCTCCATAACAGAGACTAAATGCTGATTTGGCAGCCATCCATATACCATATGGCCCACTAAATTCTATATAATGCATGAGAGATTGTCAAATCTGCAATAAAATGGAGCCCTATCTGGTTTTTAAGAAGACGGAGAAGATGACTGGTCTCAGAACTACAAAAAAAGTACATACATCACCATTCATATTTCATAGCCATTAAACTGTACAAGGAATACACTTTATACAGAAAAGAATGCAAATGGCTAAACAACGAGAAATGACTTTACGAGATGAATGAAGTATAGCACACCTAGCTTCTGGGCATCTCCAAACCATTTGCTCATTAAGTTTGATATTTTCACATTAATGAAAACGGCTCCTGATTCTTTTGCGATTGCTTTGGCAAGCATTGTCTTCCCAGTGCCAGGAGGTCCATATAGTAAAACACCCTTTTGTGGACCAAGAAGCTTCCCATGAGAAAACAGTTCAGGTCTTTGCAGTGGGAGAATGACTAGCTCATACAGTGCCTGTTTAATCGCGCCCAACCCTCCAATGGATTCAAATTTCACGTCTATATGATCTGGATTGACTACATCACAGGCTATAACATCCTATGAAGCATCGATACATGAGTAACCACAGTATATAGACCTCAAAAAGAATAAAAAAAATTAAATTAAAAAAAAAATTCTAATCTAAACTTCAAATAAACAGCAACTTCAACTATCTGCAGTCAGTAACATATTTTTTAATGATATTCCACAACAAGCTGCAAAAATAAGGTAAATTTTACCTTTGGAGCCAAAAGGCCGCCTAATTCAACGTAATAAGTGTAAATGGATGAAATATAAGAAGCAGCATTATGCTAACAATTGTGACTTCGAGGAACAATCACCAGACTCATCATGTTTGAAAGGGGAATTTCGGAAAATCTTAACAGGTACTTAATCAATANAAAAAAAAAAAAAAAAGGATTATCACAAGTACCATAAGAAATTTAATTTTCAACCTTACCGAAGACTTCTAAAGTTAAGCTCAAATTGAGAATCACCTAGAACCAAAAGAACAGCATAACTCAAGCTTCACCATCTCCCGTACCAATCATTTTGAACATGACTTCAAAGTTCTAGTATCAACAGATTCTAGTTAATGACAATTTGAATAAGATTGATTAAAATTAAAATGTTGCCATAGTGACATACAGAAAAGTTACCGGAAGACTGAAACTCGTAACGAATACAGAAGCACAACCAAATAAAAGCAAGAGAACTCTTCAGTACGTTCAGAAACAGCCGAAAATTTTAGGGAAAAACAAAAACAATACATTTGATACCACAAACAAATCAATGCACACGGATATCTCAACAACAAATATGGAGGAAATTATAAAAGAAACCTCATATGAATTGGTTTGGATTAGAGGCCTGCCCAAGCGCTTCGCGATTTCCTTCTTCTGCGCGAGAGCTTTTTTGGCGGCGTCACGGTTGGGGTCCAATTGCTTCAGCCCCACGAACAGCACCAAGCAACTGAGGGCGGCGCTCGCCGCGTACAGAATCAGCTCTTGCACGAATTTCGTCTCGCCTGAGCCGCTCCTCATATTTTATCGAATTGTTTCGAGTTAAAATTTTGGTGTAAATATTGATTATTAGTTGTTTTATGGAGGGTTGAGGATTGGAACGAGGAAGGGACGGGAAGAAAGGCGAGTACTTGGGGAAGGGGACAAGGTTGAGTGCGTTTTTTGACGAATGTGCCCTTTCGTTGTCTACGGCGGCATCGTCACCGTTATTTGTTTGGTTAATTTTCGCATAAAAAAATTACCTAACACACTACTAAATACCATCTATTCTTCTTTTTAAACGTCATTTTAATTTTATCAAACATTAATACTCCCTTATATTTTTAATAAGTGTCGTTTTAAAAAGTTACACAGTAGTTAACAATATTCTTTTTGCTAATAATAACACTCATTAATGAAGATAGAAATGGATGCTTTGAGAAAAAATGAAGAGTGAATATGAAAAGACGTAGTGTATTTATTAGTTAGATGAAGGTAATAATGAAAAATATGCACAAAATTTTTAAAACGTCATTTATTTGGTTAATTGTTGATAAAGTCAAAATGAATTTATTTTTTTTAAAAAAGGAGATAGTACAATAACTGACGTTTTAAATCATTTGTACATATTTTTCCATTATTACTCTCATTTAGCTAATAAATACACTACGTCTTTTCATATTCACTCTCCATCTTTTCCCAAAACATCCATCTCTATTTTCATTAGAGACGGTTATCATTGGCAAAAAAAAAATATATTCTTAATTACTGTGCAACTTCTCAAAACGACATATATTATGAATAGAGGAGTATCATTTTTATTACATGTTTATACTTTATATATATATATATAGGGGATGGATCCAATGAGACCACTCCTTAAAATGAGTACGTGAGACTCAATCTTAGCCACTCATTTTGTCTAGATCAAAATCAATTAAAATATACATTAATTAAATAATAAAATAGTTGACCGTTGACTCCGGCGTTGACCGTTGACTCCGGCGTTGACCGTTGACTTCCGGCGTTGACTTCCGGCGAGAACCGTTGACTTCCGGCGTTGACCTGTTGTATTGAAATAAATAACCTAGCAACAAAAGACACTCAACTTTGAGTGGTGTAGTGGTTGCATTGCTTGTCTTGCCTCCATGAGGTACTAGGTTCAAATCCTATGGGTTACAATTTTTTTATAAAAAAAAAATACAACTAACTTAGCAACATCAGACAACTAACCTAGCAACAAAACACAACTAACTTAGCAGCATCAGACAACTAACCTAGCAACAAAACACAACTAACCTAGCAACAAGAAAGAACAACTAAACTAGCAACAAAACACAACTAACCTAGCAGCAAAACACAACTAACCTAGCAGCAAGAAAGAAATAACCTAGCAACAAAAGACAACTAACCTAGCAGCGAAAAGAAATAACATCACCTAACAATAAAAGACAATTAACTTAGCAGCAAGAAAGAAATAACCTAGCAACAAAAGACAACTAACCTAGCAGCGAAAAGAAATAACATAACCTAACAATAAAAGACAAGAAAGAAATAATCTAGCAACAAAAGACAACTAACCTAGCAGCAAGAAAGAAATAACCTAGCAACAAAAGACAGAAATGCTCTCCCTTCTCTCTAGGTCTCTCTCTCTAGGATTTCCAGTTTTCTTTTACAGCCTCAACCAGCACCCCTCCTTCCCCCTGGCCCCTACCACCACCTAGCGCCACCGGCCGCCGCCGTCGGCGGCCTTCTCGGCCGCCTGCGGGGCTTTATTTGTGTTTCCTTTTTATTTTTTCATTTCTTTCCCATTTTACAGATTTATCTTTAGTCCGTAAACTTTTCTGGACCTTAACCATGACTCCACAGCCAGTCAATCCGGCCATCAGTCAAGTTCGACCATCGACCAAAGATTCAGATTTGGAAGCTTTCATATCACAACCTGAAGTTCGAGCGGCTCTCCTGGCCTATCTCGAAAAAGAAAAACAGATTAGAAATATGGAAGATGGAGAAGTCAAAAATGTCGAAGAAGGTGAAGTTGTAGAAGAACTTCATAAAAATCAGGGCGAGGCTCAAGCGCCGGAGGTCAAAGCAAAGACGATGGCCGCAAATCTAAATCTCAACTCTCAGAAACAAAAGATAATGAATTCTGCCATTGGGGTTTGTTTGCAGCCGCTGGAAAGGACCTTGCCGGAAAAGAAGATCCATGCCGCCTCCCCTCCATCGATCCCAAATCTGGAGGAGGGAGAAATTCCTAATACCTCTTCCGAAAATCCACATGATCCAGTCGCCGGAATTTCACGTCTTGGGATACGAGATCGCTGGGCCGGCGTTTTAGGGTCTCCTCCGTCAGACATCCTACCTCAGATCATCCAAGTTTCAAATGTTGAGGACGGCGTAGCAGGGACTCAAAACCCTCAGCTCACAGATGACGTGGCCCCAACAACTCACGTGGCCAAGCAAATACTTTCCTCAACTGAGCCCAATCTCAGGCCCAAGCCCGTCTCTCACTCTGGTACACTTCTTTCTGGGCCTATTCAACATACTAAACCAATTCAATTAAACCCAGCTTTGGGCCTTATTTTCGGCACAAACCATCAAGCTACTACCCCACAACCCACCAAATCATTTGACCAATCTCCTGGGCCCATCATAAATCAAACATCTCAGCCCGCAAACAACCAATCCCCTCCCAAGACTGTCGGCCCCTTCCAACAGCGAGACTCCACCTCCGTTGACGCTGGAGCCAACCCCCAACCACCGAGCGCCGTCAGCGGCCCCGACTCCGGCACCGGCACCGCCGCAGTCGCCGGAAAAAGTCAACCAGCCGGGAATTCAATCGAGGATGCCCCTAAGTCATTCTCTTCGAGCGGAATTCTTGGTCACCGGCCGAATTTAAGTTCTCCAACCACGAACCTCGCCGGCACGGCCACAGACGCTGCCGGAGACTCCGAACCAATCAACCTATATGTGCGTGAAAATGGGGTAGCCGCTGCGAGTCCAAGTACGACGGCCATGGCCCACGCTACCGGGCTCTCTCCAAAACGGACACCGCCGACGGCCCTCCCCACGGCTAACCCCGCTACAGCCGGGCAACAACTGAGCACCTCCCCTGGCCCACTCTCCTTCCGGGAGGCTATTACCGGGAGGAGAGATGGTGGCTCGAGCACCCCCCAACCAACACCGAAGGACTTTACCTTTGACGGGAATTACGAGCATGCTTGCGGGACCATTATCCGCTCGGAGGAGAACAAAGTCAAGGCCCGATTCACCGACGCCGAATCTGTCGCTCTCGCAGGTAAACTTGATAACACCCTGGTATTTAAGTTTTCATATGCTATCCCCGCCCCTCGAGATATATCTGCTGGATTAAGGAAATTGGGTTTTAAGGGTAGTGTTTCATCGAAGTGGTTTAACTTTAACCACCTGTTAGTGTCTTTCCACCTCACTGAGGATTATAATGAGGTCTGGCTCAAGACCTTGATTCATTTGTGTGGATGCCCAGCTAGGGTGTTCAAATACTATGTCGGGTTTAACCCGAAGACGGAGGCACCGATTGTCCCCGTCTGGTGCCGTCTTCCCGGCCTCCCACCCCACCTCTACGACCGCGCTGCCATCACTACACTTGCTAAGTGTATCGGGCAGCCGATTCGTATCGATGCCCACACGGCCCTTCAGACGAGGGCTAACGTGGCGCGATTCTGTGTTGAGATAGATCTCAGAGCGGAGCTCGTTCATGAGATCGAAATTGAGCAGGGCTCAGAGTCCTTTCTTCAGCGGGTGATATACGAAAAGATCCCCGCGTTCTGCACTGTGTGCAGCCATGTGGGTCACATTGCGGCCGATTGCTACATTAGTGGCAATAAGCCACGACCCACGCTTCCGCAGCGCCATCGCGCTGCTCTGCCAGGGCCCTCCACCGGCAGAAGGGACCCCAAGGGAAAGGGCAAAAGCCCTATCCGTACGACCGAGACCCCGAAGGGGTCTAAGGACAAGGGCAAGGCTGTGTTTGACGCCACTGCCCAAACTGGGAAGGACGCTCATCCTAACCAGCCTAAGCAGTCGGCCATAGTGGGGCCAAAGCCCAAGTCCACGGGCTTTCTCCCGAGACAGACCATCCAGACGGCCTTCAAGGCCAATCACTCGTACTTTGCCGTCCTCTCCCCTCAGGCAGAGGATGAGGACGTTCCGTCCACTAGTCACCATCCTAAGATTTCTGACCTTGCGCTCCTTGACGACGATGATCTTCTAGTCGACGATATGGACCAGCCGAAGGCCTCGACCAGGAGTGAGTCCATCCATTTGTCCGATGACAGTGCACGCGACGCAGACCCTCAGACCGTGCGTGCATCCAGTCCGGACTGCGGCCCTCTAGATTTGAGGGCTAGTGCCTCCACCGCTCCCCCGAAAGGGGATCAGTCGGTCCCTCCTCTCTCCCCGGAGATTAGGACCACAGCTGAGCATATAGCCAGCCCCCACCCTTCCTCTGGAGGCGAGCACATGATTGCCCCGCCGGCTGGACATCCTCTTTCTCCCATTCCCGAGCAGGCATGCGGTCTTAACCGCGCTCAGCATGACGTCTCCTGCGAGAGCTTCACGTCTAGTGCCTTTGTGCACCATGACAGACAGGAGACTGCCCCGGATATGGGGCAAGCCGCTAGTGTCGCTCTTGGTCAGATTGCCCAGCCAGACGACACACAAGCCACGAGCGCCATCCGAGCCAGGCAGTATACGAGGACCAGAGCCTCGCAGCGCACGCTGCGGCGGACTGCCTCCCCTGCTATTGGATCATTTCGACGTCGCCCTGCTTTACGTAGCGCGAATCAGCCTCGCCACAGGCGGACTATGTCCAGTGGCTCTCGCGACAGTTGATATGTCAGTCACGTCCATTACTTGGAATGGCCGTGGCCTGGCGAACAGGGTACCCTCTCTCACCTCCATTCTCTGATTCGTGACCACAGACTCGATTTTGTTGGCTTCATTGAGCCAATGATTCGCAACCCTTCGCTTGACTACTACTAGCGTCGCCTTGGTTTTCACTCGGGCGTCGGTAACATGTCGCATAAGATCTTCTTCTTTCACTCGCGTGATTACACCTGTCGGGTCCTCAGTGACACCGATCAGGTGCTTCACGTTGAGCTCTCCGCTGCCCACCTCCCGGAGCCCATCTATCACACCTTGGTCTATGCCAAGTGTACTAGGATCGGGCGATATGATCTTTGGGAC